TCAGGGACCTGTGCAGCAGGATCCCATAAAAGACTGTCTTGGATAACAGAGACGCTCAGGAGAGCTGTGTGATCTTCATGGACAGCTTCCTCCAAGCACAAGAATGATCTGTTCCTACGTGGAGCTGGGCAGGAGAACGGTGTGGGTGAACAGGGAACAGCCTGTGCTCAAAGACGAAAAGGAGGCACACAGAAGATAGATGTGGGGACATGCATCCCAGGAGGAATACATCCTGGGGAGAAGTTAAGAGTTCAGCTGGAGCTGGAACTAGCAGGAGATCTTAAGGGTAACAAAAAGGGCTTCTGTAAGAATGTGGCAAGCAAGAAGGGAAGCAAAGAAAAGCATGGGCCCACTGCAGTGTGTGGCAAGGACCCACAGTAGCAGAAGGTTTGATCTGGAGACCCCCTAAGTAACTGGACATATGGAAGACCAAGGGACCAGGTGGGATTCATCTGAAGGAGCAGTCCCATGCCATTGCAAAGCTGCTCTCTATTACCTTTTAAAGCTCAGAGTGATGTGGGAAGGTTCCTGATAACTGGGAAAAGGCAGATGTCACATCCATTCTCAAGAAGGGTAAGAAGAAGGATCTGGGGAACTACAAGCCTGTCAGTCTCGCCTCATAATCTTCCCAAGGACTGGAGCAAATCCTCTGGGAACCTGTTCCCCAGCCACATGCAGGACAAGAAGGGGATTGGGAGCAGCCAGCGGGTATTTATTTAGCAAGGGCAAATCCTGCCTGACCAACTGGCTGCCTTTTGTCATGAGATTATGACCCCAGCGGACAAAGGAAGAGCAATGGGTGTCATTAGCCTTTGCTTTCGAAAGGCTTTGGTGTGGTCTCCTTGTAGTGTCCTGACAGGCAAATTGGTGAGATATGGTCTGCCTAAGTGTGGACTGCAAGAGAGATGGAAGATTGGGTGGATTGCTGGGTTCAGGGTGCTGGTCAGAGGTACAAAGTCCAGTTGGTAGCTGGTTACCAGTGGTGTTGCTCAGGGATCTGTAGTGGGGCCAGAACAGTTCAACGTTTTTGTTAATGACCTTTGTTAATGTACAAGGTTGTGGACAACACCTAATTCTGGGGCAGGTTAATGTGCCAGGGGGGCAGGGCTGTCATTTAGAGGGACCTTGGCAGGGTGGAGAAACGAGCTGTCAGGAACCTTGTGAAGTTCAGCAAAGGCAAATACCAAGTCCTGCCCCTGGGCTGGAGTAGCCCCTGCCCAGGCCAGGCTGGGGCCGGCTGGGCTGGGGAGCAGCTCTGCAGCCAGGGACCGGGGGGGTGGAGAACAGTTTGGACAGGAGAGAGCAGTGTGCCCTGGCACCAGAGAACCAGCTGCATGTTGGGCTGTACGAGCAAAGGTGGCTCGGTCCTGGCTCAGAGAGGTGGTGGCATCTCCTTGGAAATGTTCAAAGCTCAGCCGGGCGAGGACCTGAGCAATCTGATCCAGCTGGCCTTACTTGGAGTGAGGGGTTGGCACGGAGGCCTCTAGAGGTCCTTGCGACTTAAAAAATACTCTGCTGTTCTATGATCCTGTCATTTTCATTGAAACGTTACAGAGAAATAGTTTAGGGTTCCTAACTTTTCCTCCCCTTAAATTCTAGTACTGAACACAGTAGAAGAAAAAAAAGTAATATGAACTGTGGGTGTAAAACACCTTCTGTCCCCAAAACACCTCAGAACAGATTAAGTTATAGCCTTGTTGTTACACAACGTAACATGCTGCTACTGTTGTCCCACAGACAATCCAGCATGTATATAATTTTCATGGTCCTCTAGAAGGTAACATTTGTCAAAAATAACGTATTACTTCAGGTAGAATAAAGCAAAATCACCATTCACACTGCATTTGAAATACCTGCAAGGGATCAAATGTGATGCAGAGGGAAACGTGCACAGCATTCAGGGAGGTTATCAGAAAGGTTTGTGCTTATATTCAAGGACAATATTTTGTTAAACATAATGGAGAGCTTCTGAACTTGGTAATACTCCAACGGGATGTCAGTCTGAGCTTTACGAAGGTGCGTGATTCTTCTTAAACTCACGTTTTCCTCTTTTCCTCTGTCAGGTTTTGCAGCGACTGATTAAATCTAGAGGAAAGTCACAAAGTAAACACTTGAATGTTCAGTTGGTGGCAGCTGATAAACTTGCACAATGCCCACCAGTAAGTACGGAAGAAAGGCTAAAGAACTTGTGATACGTGGAGTTTTAAAGATTTCTGCTATGTTGGTCCTTGATTGTAGCCGAGTTCATACGTTATCGCTTCACTTTATGGCGATTCAGACAGCTCTGCAATTGCAGCCCTCGATCAGCTTTTATTGCTAAGAAACAAGCTGTTTGATACTCTCATTCTGATTATGTCCTGTACCGGGTTTATTGCGAACTTTGGCAAGCTGACAGGTCAGAAGTGATGCGTGTGGTAAAACTGATCTACCAGCACATTAGCAAATGACATCATTTGCGGAGCAGTGCTGTCTTAAGGTCCCGAAGGGGCAAAGTCCCAGACTCCTGGTTTGAGAGGAGGCTGCGGAGGACTTTCCTTCAGGCGCACAGTCAGTCCAGACCCACCGTCTGCACGGTGCAAGTCCCATGCCTGCATGCATGTGATCCCCGAGCCTCCTGACGTGGCCTCCAAGCCATTCCAGTTACTTCATCAGAGCACAGTCACTGCTCACCGACCATTTTATCAAAGGTACTGATTACTCACCTTGAACAACCTGCTGCTTAAGGAGCAGAGGTCCTGGCTAGCTGATTAGGCAGGCAGATGCTGTGCGGGAAAGCCGTACAGGTGTGTGGACAGGGCAGCTCAAACTTGCTTGTGTTTTTGAAAACCATGCCTGGCTTGTGCAACAGAGAAAGCCCCTCAGTGGAAACAAACCTGGATGTGGACTTGCTTTTACAGTGTAATAGCTGTGCGTAACACTGGTCTGGTAGTGCAGAGACTGCTGTTTGTACCAGGGGAATGGTCAGACGGTCCAGCCTACGGCTTGCCGATTGCCCATCTTTCTCATGCCAAAGAACTGTGAGTGGAAATCAGATTAATTCAGAGAAATTCAGAATAGACACCGGGAAGGTTTCCATGGTTGTACTCTCTCACTTAAAACAGGCAAAGTGCTGACAAATGTCTTGGAACAATCTAGGAACAAATCTGGGAGTCGAGATCAGCAGAACAAATGCCCAAACCCCAGTGCTTCTGGAAGACTTCGCCTTCTGTTACGTAGCCCTTAAAAAGATGCTTCCGTTTCAGAGGGCTTTTATTTTATGAAAGTGCCAAAAGTTCGAGCAGCTTTTGTTCTGGAGTAACGATCCGCAAGGATTTATTTCCATGAAACATAACTTGGTTTTGTATGCTTCTTAAGATACCAAACTTCACAGCCTCCTCATCTTTTGTCCCCACTGGCCATAAAAAGATAATTCCTGTATTTTTGGCCATTCCTCCTAAATTACAGCTGATGGATGTTGCTTTTTAACTGTTCCCCTTGGTAGGAATTGAGGCTGATCGACATCTCCTTTAGGCCAGTGCTCCCATGCCCCTCAGATGTCCCAGAGCTACGGTTGGTGGGAACAGTGGCACTCCATCCAGCGGAAGGGGACGCCTGGGGAGAGCTTTCTCCTTCTCTCTCCTCTCTCCCACTGGTTGACCCTTTAGGTTAGCTCCTGCCATCAGGTAGACCTCGCCTAATTGCTAGCTAGGACATGGAGACTGCCAGCCTCTGCTGCACCAGTGTGCCCACCTTTGCCTGTCTGGAAGAGACTTCTGTGGCCTCAGGTCTGCCTGATAATTCTGCCTCAGCTTAGCAAGACAGTGTATGTTTGCTCTGTAGTTACAGCCAGATACAAAATGAAGAATAATTAAGGTGGATCTGTGAAAACTTCGGATTTCAGCAGTTTTCTGTAGTGTTTTGGTGTACCTTCAGGCTAGATTCACACTGAAATGTTAGAAAGCAGAGAAAAAAAGGTAATAGGCTTGACTGAAATTGCCATCCTCCTTATCTAAAAGCAGAATGGTTTAAGAATATGTCCAGAATGAGAGACCTGATTCAGATTCCTCCTATGCCTGATACAGAGCAAGAATTTAAATTAGCCAGAAAAGTTCTGGTGGTGGTGTGTGTGCACCTTGATTCCTCCAGTTAAATACACTTTCCGCAGTGCCCGCCACGCCCCAGACAGCTTGCTGCTTCCCTAGCGGGTGTGGATTTCGCAGCCACCCTCCTGCTGTCCCTCTTGCCCCATCAGCACCGCTTGCAGATGTCCAGCTGTCAGAAGTGGTGGATGGCGACAGCATATACATCCAGCTGGTTGTGCTGCTGCAAAGACCTGTAAGCTTCTGGTTGCGGTAACTGTAGATCGTTTTGCTCGCTCTCTCATCCTTGTTTTCTGCTTCGAGCAGCAATGAAAGATGTTTTCGCCATCTCAGGTTCTTCTGGAGAGCTCAGCTATATTATGTTTCTCGCATAATTTTCTACTGAATTGTTATCTCTTCAAATGATGACAGAGGATTCCTGTGAGCCATTCAGGTCCCATAACTAAACCCAAATTGTACACTTTTCTGTAGCACAAAAAAATTTCTATAAAAGCATGTACCTTCCTCTTCGTGGGTGTGAGCCAGGTTAAATGGAGTTGCACCTGCACCCCTTTGAATACCGCTTGTGGTATTTACACTGAGCTTACACACCGAACAATCCACGGCACATTCTTCACATTTGAAAGCTGTCTTTATTCTTCCACCTGCAGAGAGAAGCCTGCTCATGTTTCACAGCCGTGTTCGCTCTTTATACAGCGATTTCTTCTTACTCCGCCAGTTGAAATGAGGCAGGTAGCTGCATTGACTGAAATACGCGGCGCGCAGCAGCAGGATGGGTGTTGTGGCTTGGTCGTTGCCTCGTGGCACTCAGGTTGTCCATCCCCAGCATCTAGTGAACTCTGCCTTAACACCCGATCCTGCAGTTGTATTTTCCCTAAGGCAACAAAGTGAGACCCCAACTGGATGACAAAAATATTTCCAGATTTCAAGCACGCAGCCGTACTTGCTCAGAGGCTGCCTTCCACTCTGACTTGCACAGCCGCCTCCTGCAGAAGCCATCTGATCAGTTGTGCAGTGCTTGATTTCAAGAAAGTTACAGCTGACTTGGAGCGCTCGAAGGGAGATGAGAGTCTCGGTTACGTTTAAATTAAAGGACTGAGTTGATCCATGATTTAATTAAGTAAAAGAACACTGTTAAGACAAAAGACGCTGCTGTCTTCTGCACTGTGACCTGCTTCGTCTGTTTTGCGGCTCAAATTCCTGCAAGAGGAGTATTTGTTTAAAGCAAAGCTACTTGCAAACCATAAAACCCTCACTTTTTTTCATTTGCTGAGAGCCAGCCTTAAGTGATCAGAGGGTGCTGTGTGTCTAGACATTTTAAAAATAGCTGTCTCTTTTGGCATATCTAAGTTCAGGAACTGCTTTCATTATTAATGCCTTGCTAATCTTTCACTGAAGCTGCTCAAGCCAGTGCTAAGCGTGCCTATCACTGTATGACTCGCTTAAGCAGGAACATTGCATGGCTCAGAGAAACATGAACTGTACTAACCATACAGCTTTAAATACACTGGACGTCATGATTATTTTTGTTTTTAAACTTTTGGGTTCATGCCAGTGCTAAGAGAGGGTACATATCCCTCTGGCCTACTTGATGTAAGTTAAAAAATACCAGAAATTACACTCTAGCAGAACTAAAATGCATTGGTATAATTAAAACTAGCCAGTACCCCAGATATATCTATGAGGTCAAATTCCTCCTCCTCGGGTATACCTCCATCCTTGCAGTTCTGTCTGGGGCATCTTTTCCCCCAGAGCCTGAGCTCACCTTCCCTGACCTCAGCAACTAAGATGCAATTTGGGATTGCCCTTAGCTGGACTGGCTCTGGGCTATGCCTGAGGCTCAGTCCCTCTTACACTCCCTGTCCGGAGCGTTCCCATGGGTGCGGAGGACGCCTCTGCAGTCATGACCGTTGTATTTTCTCTTGCAAACGTGAGGTAGTGCACCTTGAATACTTCACAGTCGTTACACAGTAAACCAAAAGAAATAGCAGAGGACAGTGGCAACTAATTTTATCTTTTCTTCAGGGAAGACCACTGCTTTAATGTATAACACTTAAGAAATACTAGGATATGGGAATGCTCATATGGTAACTGTTTTATGCTTGTTGTAAGAAAATATTGCAGTGAATAAAATTGTAAGGGAGAACTGGGAAGAAAAAGCTTTACTCGTGACCCTTACAAACAAGGACCCCCTTAAAAGATTCTTTCCTCTGAAATACAAATAGAACAAACAGGGTTTAGCGATGAGCAGAGCTGTTAATGCAAGAAAAAACCTGAGCACTTTCTCTGTAACCTGTTTTCCCTGTAAAACACTGTAGAGCCCTGGGATCAGGATGCTGCCAGTTTTGTAGCTTTTACAGGTGACCTTCAAATGACAGCCCGAGAGGCTCACCATCACCGGTCCTAGTGTTACTTTACAGTTAACTGTTAAAAAGGTGACAGTTCTACTGCAACTGTTAAAAGTTGTTCTTCCCTTAATTCCATTTAATTGGGATCACTGTCAAAATACCACACAAAGCTACACCCTGTCGCAGAACTGGGTGGTTTAGGTATGTTAGCTACAGGACTAGCTGCGCATTTCTTACAAGGACACGGAGCTGTTACTCTGTTAGGTATGGCAGCCGTAGGCGGCAGTACTGGCGTTGCCATCCCTGATCTCTTTGCCTCTCCTCCACCTTGCAGCACGTTTCGTTGTGCCCGTACAGCGTTTTGTGAGCTCCCTGAAGCAACCGAGCCAGGTTAAAAGGAAACTTGAGAAACAAGTTAGCAGGAGGAGGTTGGAGGGTGTCGGAAGAGTATTCATTGACCCGCTTGCTGCTAGACCCCCTACGGCTGAAAATACGCCTTGAGGCAGAACTGCCTTGCGACCTGCAAAGCCGAGTTTTGTAGAGGCAGCCCGAGATGCCCTCAGATCAGTGGGCAGCTCCATGAAGAATGAGCGGCGCAGGAAACCTGCTCACGAGTCTCAGAGCAGAAAACGAGGATATTCATTCTTTGTTTAAGGAAACAGATATTCTACTCCAAGTGTCGTGTTTTAAGTTCAGTATTTTCCAAAGCAAAGTGTACGTAAGCAAACCACAGTCTTGTATTTCCTAACTTAACTGTGTTTGAATTACCAACTACTTCCACAAATGATGATGTGAGTGATAAAATGGAACATGTAGTGTATCATAGAATCATAGAATGTTTTGGGTTGGAAGGGACCCCTAGAGGTCATCTAGTCCAACCCCCCCGCAGGAGCAGGGACATGTTTATCCTATCTATACCCTCTACACCCTCCTTTGCTGTTTAAACATTGTATCGACATGTTTAAACAGCAAAGGAGGGTGTAGAGCGTATAGATAAATAGAGGAGCAAAACAAGCGGCGGTAAACACTTAGTTTGACCAAAGGATGTAGGAGTGTTAGGATTAGGAGTATTTGTGTTCGAAGAAAGCTCCATACTTGGTGGCAGAGAAGGAAACATTTCTCTACCATGCTGATAAGAGGGAATAAATTAAAAAAAAAAATAAACAAAATGGCTTTAGTATTAAAGTAAGTTCTGGGCCAGACTTTTGGGCAGAAGGTAGATGCCTGATCAAGACTGAGGATAAATTCACCATGCGGGTTCATACCTTACTCTAGTGTCGTCAGCTCTACGGATACTGAATAGATCTGAGTGGAGGAGAAGCAGCCTGTGGTTTCTATCGGTTACTCTTAACACCTGCAACACCTGCACTTATTTTTCATTTCCTGTGCTAGTGTTACAATATTTCTTTTCCAATAAGGCGTGAGTTAAGATTAAAGATGAAGTACGAATTTCACTGCTGAAATTACGTTTGTATTTCTGTTGAGGGACTCGGTTTATGATCCTTTATGATCAGCTGTTTGTTATCAGCACTTGTCATGCTGATAATCTAAAAACATTGTCTGCAGAGTGTCCCTTTGACTTCTTGGGTGGCACAAAAGCCACGTGGCTTTGAACTCCTTCCACGTTCACTGGTCCACAGCCTCTCCATGGGGTGCAGGGTGAGCAGCTCAGAGGCAAGTACCAGGACTTGCACTGGCGGTCAGGAAAAAGGCCGCACCTGCGTGGTCTTGCGGATTTGAGAACAGATGGGTAAGACCATCCAGATAGACGTCAGTGAAGGTAGTTAGAAAACAGCACATGGAGGTAAGTCCCTGGAGAATTCCCAGCTCTAAGTATCTGAGCGGCAGGACGTCCTGAAATAGCCTTGCCTAAGCAGAAATACTGCTGCTAACAGAACCGTGCACTGCGTTTGCCAACATGGAAATGGTTTTAGGGGCATCGTTCACTCTGGAAATGCGTTCGCAGTTAGGATGAGAGAAGCCTGTGCGAGTCCTTGGGTCCAAACGCAATGCAGAACCCCCCGGTGGTGCTCTGACCTCTAGCTTCAGTTCCCATCTTAGAGCAAAATAAATTTCATTGCAGGAGTCTGTGCCTCTGAGCTTGGTAGGGCTCACGCGATGTCTACTGAACATCGCGGAGAGGATACAGTGACTTCTGAGAGCTTTGGCTTTTGATCTCCTCATAAACCCGCTTGTATCATTTTCTTCTGCAATCCCGTGCTCTGATTCTTGTTTATTGAACTTTAAAGGATTAGCCTGATGAGAATTGTTTAACGTCTTTCTTTTCATCTATAACGTTGTAACGAACCCAACTTTGTTGTTGTGATCAGGAAATGTTTGATGTAATTTTGGATGAAAATCAGCTTGAAGATGCTTGCGAACACTTGGCAGAATATCTTGAAGCATACTGGCGTGCTACTCACACCACCAGTAGCACACCCATGACTCCTCTCCTTGGGCGAAATTTAGGATCCACTGCACTTTCACCATATCCCGCTGCGATCTCTGGATTACAGGTATGAAAATACATTTCAGCCCCAAACACCAGTGCAGATCAGGTGGGGGGTTTTAATCTATGGGAAAAGAGCAAAATGTTTTACATACCGTAACTTAACCTTTGCTTCATGAGTTGTTACTCACTGTTTGGCCACTGCCAGCAGTAAGAAGGCAAGCTCAGGCCCCTAATCGGGGAAGAAGCAGGTGTCAGCTGAGTGCTGGAGCACTGTCACTGCTCCTGCTTGAATGGGAAATAAAATGGCCGTGCGTCTTCTGGCAAGGAGGGATTTCCCAAGGAAGAGTTCAGTGATGCTCTGTCAAGTGGTCTTAGAGCCGTATTAGAAAACGGCCTTTTTTTAATCTGGGAAAAAATCCATTGCAAGTGAGAGCCTGTCAGGTTGAGAATAAGCCTGTAGGTATGTCCCAGCACTTGAGCTAACAGCTACTGTGTTTAAGAACGCAGAGCAGTGTCTGTAATGATCCCTTTTATGTCTCATAACTTCACGAAACGTTCACTTGTGGGTGAAAAACTTCCATGCTTGTCTCTTGTATCAGCAAAATGCCTTCACCTTTTTGAGTTCGTTGAGTGTGAATAAAATACGTTCTTTTTTACCCGTTGAAAAAAATTCTGACCATTTTTTTCCACAGGGATAGCTCAAACACGGCTGAACTTTGAAACTTCAAACGTGGCATGTAAATAGTCCTTAATGAGAAGTACGTGCTTTACTAAGTTTGAAAACAGAAAATGTTTTTGATTAATAGTTATGAATGCTTGAGAAGATCAGGATGGCAGCGAACTTTTAAGTCTGAAAGTTTCAGC